GCCCCATGTGCCCACAAAGGCCGTGACAGTGCCACATCTGTCCATAAAGGCTGTGGCAGCACCACACCTGTCCTGCACTCGCTGTCACGAAGGCCCTTGTCAGCTCAAACCTGGAGCCGATCCACTCTTAAGGTGCCTTTGTCACAGCAAAGAAGAAAAGTTGCTAAAGTGACAGAGAAGCTGCCTGGATGGCAATCACAGTGACACAGTTACTGACTGATGACTCCTTAGTGTAGGAGCAGAATGTGGTTTAAGAATTGGAGTGTGTTTTTTATTTTTCTTACTATGAGAAAAGAAAACACTATCTTAGGGATTAAAATTAACATTTTTTGAGTAATTGGTTCCTATGTGATAGAATGGCATTCAATTAACTTTATTTTGTAGTTATAGTAAATGTGCTACATAGAAATACATTCACAAAGCTGAGTGATGACACTGATAACAGTATATTGCGAAATCAGTCCTTACCACCAGAGCCACCATGACAGGTCCATGAACGATGTAAAGCAGGTGGGTCTCGACGCTCAGCCAGCAGCTGTGGGAAGCAAGGGTGCACATCAGTACAAACATGCTTTCACTGTGGGATGTAGTAACTTCAGAGCTGTGTGCACTTACTTGTCATTGTAGTAGAGAGCCCGGGTAACGGCGTGGATCGTAGTTGGTATCACTGGGAACCCTGAAATTGGGAAAAGCACAAATCAAACTTGTATCCTATGCCAAGAGCTTACCTACAATTGTATGGAAAATGGTAGCATTGTCACAAAGATGGTGTCAAACTGAGTTGCCTATCAAGACATTCCCCTGATATGTTTGCATTCAGATTATTTGGTCAAGTCAGACTTGTGGAGCTTGGCTAAGAACATCCAGACAGTTAAAAGCCTTTTGCCAATTCCTAGCTGCAGCAGGTACCTTGTAATTTGTATTATGATCCTTCCTAACACTGTTAAGTTTTTGAAGATGTTTTTGCTGTGAACTGGAACAAGCAAGACTTTCACTGTGTGAATTAGGCTCTCATATAGTGAGATTCTGGGTCATCCTTAAGGGATATAACGTGGGATGCTAATCGCTATGAAGTCTTTGATATTCATATGAGTTCTTTGGGGTATTTTATTTTTATTTACTTTGTGTACATTGATCCTGTTTCCTTTTAAACAAGTGTTTTAGAGAACTCTCTAAGTTCTGGTTGAGGAAGTGTAGTTTCTTCTTTCTTAACTAATCAAAGTACTAGTAAAGATAAACAAACTCCCTTCAGAATTGACTAATCAAAGTACTAGTAAAGAGAAACAAACTCCCTGTAGGTTCATTTTCAGAAAAATTAGATACTGTCTACTCAGCCAACCAAATTACATGTTGTTAAAGTAAGTTTTCTTCCAAGAAGGTACTTTAATGTAATAATTTTCCTTTGAAAAAGATTGTTTTTATACTCAGATGTATCTAGTACATGATAATACTGTTTGATTTGATTGAAGCATCTGTAAAAAGAGGTTTTTTGTTATAGTCAGGTTATGAAATATGTCTCAGAAAAAAATTAAGTGATACCCTTCAAATTTTAGTAAGTGAGATACAAAAAGAGAGGGTCTCAAACCTTATGTGAAAAGGTTTCCACATAAAATAATTTTGGTTTATAAATGCTTAAACGAAATAATTCAATAATACCACTGATTACATGTTGGGCTTGAAAATAATTTTAAGCTGGCTAGTTGTATAATATATGATTGTGCTGTTCATAGTGCTTCTAACTGACCACTTCCTCATTTGAATTCAAAGACTCAAAATTATTCTCTGGATATATTCTGAAGTACATATCTTAGGTTAAGACAGCAAAAAATAGGCATTTGAGAATTTGAGTCTACGTGCCCACTCCATTTAAAGAAAAGCACGCTTCCTAGTCATTGGGGGAGACACTACATCTATCTTTTGGGGCCTGACACCTTCCTATGGCTACTGTGGGAGAAATTCTATAGGAACCCTGGGGCCTGACACCATCCTATGCCTAGTGTGACTTTTTCAATACAAAGTTTTGGTTTTTTTCTCTGTTCCTGATCTTCTAGTCCCCAAGATTTGTAGCAACCTTTCCCTTCTACCAAAGACAGTGAAAATAAGAGAAATACTTATTCTAATGTATTCCTTTTCTAAAACAAGGAAATCAAAGAAATCCTATTTGTTCAATGTGGAAATCCATTAGAAAGATTTTCTTCATTTTATAGCAAGTGGAATCAATCAGAGTAGGAAACAACCTGAAGACATGGCGCTGCTTAGATATCTGAGATGCCGAATATCCCGTGATGCAACATAGATGAGGAAAAAGGCATCCGGGAAGAATCCGGCTTTGATTTTGGGTTGGGAGAATCTCAGCGCCAGACAGTTGTTCAGCCATAGGATGGGTTTATTATGTCTTTCACAAATCTTGGAATTCTATTCCATTTTAGATTCCAGAATTGGAAACATTTTTCACACAAATGGCTTTGATGTCCTCTAAAGACAATTTAGTTCCTAGAAAACAGCTTTGGAGGGTGCACATTTTCTGTATCCCAACTTTGAAGAGTATTTTCCGATATCAACTGTACATTATTTTATTGAAATTGTAAATCCTAGAACCTATGCTACTGTTCTAGTATTTTCTAAAGGAAACCATATATTGCCCAACACAAAGTTTTCTCTGTTCTATTACATCTTCTAACATTCCTGTGAAATGTTTTTCTTGAGAAGTTATTTGGGCTTCCTTTCACTTGTCTTCCTCTCACACAGAGACAACACTATGTCAGGATCTAAATGAAGGCCACTGCTTTAAAAATATGCTACTCTGTGACCTCATATTTGTTTGGGGGGAGTTGTATTTGGCTTTCTGAGTTTCTTAATGGTAAGGAATGTGGTAGATTCTAGTTTAGTTTTTTTTCTTTATTTGTGTGTGTGTGTGTGTGTGTGTGTGTGTGTGTGTGTGTGTGTGTGTTTATGTGTGTCGGGTAGAATTTGAGAGCAGACTTTGGCAGACCCCAATAGTTGACTTTCTGTCTTTCCAAATACCTATCTTTAAGAAGCAAATCCTTCCTTTTGAAACGTTCTATTTTCTGTGGTCAGAATACTGAAGAAGAAATCTACTGCCCTAGCCAGCATTGATGAGCAGTGCCTTGTTCTGTGGCTACTGTGAGTGTAATATTCTTTGATTTTACTTGGCTCATGCTAATGAAGTGTTAAATATTGGCTGATCAAGGAAAGTTAAGGTATTATATAAATACTTACTTATTATTCCTTTCTTTTTGATACAGATAAACATCTGTATATAAACAACTCATTTCTTTTTTTCTTTGTGTTGGTAATGGACTAAGTAGAGACCTTTATTGAGCTGTATACAAAGATGCCAACAAGCTTTATAATTAATTCATAGAGCACCAGTATGGAAAGAAAAATGTAAATGTTCCTCTCTTGTCTCAGCTGACTGTCATATGTGAGAATAAATTTATAGTTAGTGTTTGTTTTCATGGGATATTTTCTGAGTTTGACAGAGATACTTCTGAAACACACATAAGGAGAAAATTTCATCAGTTTTATTTCAAATAAATAAGTGAACTAGATCTGATAGAAATATGTAAGAGAGGCTGTGCTAAAGACTGGAATGCTGACTTTGTCTTCTGAAATCAAGACCAGAAGCAGGCTATAAACATGTGAGTCTAGTTGGATCTAGCTCAAAAGTCAATTGTATGAAATACATACCCCAGCCAAGAAGGTAATACCAGCGCAGGCGTTGCTCCTCTGCGAACACAGCCACGACGATGAGAGTGTGAAGATAGATCCCCTCACAGAGCATCCAGAAATAGTTGCAAGCCATCATGTATTGGTGAAAGAAGTGTAGAACCTTGCAACTTATCTGTTAGAAAAAAATGAAGATACTCAGAGGAAGGCATGATTATAGATCTGGTGATAAAGGGAGGAGTGTAATTATGAGCCAACGTATCTGCATTGAACTCTCAAGAATTACCCTGAGTATTTGTTAACATATGCCTTCTATATTTACAATCAAAGGGATAGAATGTTAGTCAAAAGTACTGTATGAAAATAGCTACATTGGCTAATGAAGCTGAGGCCACAGAATATTCTTTTCTCCATTAAATTCTGGAGACTTACCTAGACTAGAGCAGTTCATTTTCCTACAAGGTGTCTGAAACTAACACGTTTCATTCAAATGTTTGACATTAAACTTCTGTACTATTTTCTCATCCTGTGATCCATGAGGTAAATAACCCGAGACATTTTAAGTGTTGCTTCTGAAGCTGCAGGATCTGTCAGTCATGCCTTCTTAACCATAAAGAGGAGATGACCAGGGGAGAAAGTTATCTTGTATGGACCTGGAGCCCATGCTGACCTCAGCTTCTGTTTCATAGGTAACCCTGTGTTTTACATTAGGACCCAAGTGTTTGCCAAATCCTCTCTGTATATTAGGATCAATGACTGCTCAGAGAAGACTTAGGAAGCATACCAGTATAGACTTAAATCTCTTAACCATCTGTATAAGAAAACCACAAACCACATAACAGAATACCCTGTTATTCCCTAGTCATTTCTAGAGTAGGGTTGACATCATTAACATTTTGAGCTAGAAAACTGGTTGCTGTTGTGAAGGGTTGTCCTAGGTTTGTTGACAGTTAACAGTCTTTCTGCCCTTTAACTAACTGATGTCTTTAGCATCATGGCTCCAGATGCTTCCACATGTTCTTTGTGGGCCAAAATGTGTCTAGTTAAGAACCCATACCTGAGGGCACCAAGCGTTGATTACCTTCTAACAACCACAAGACAATTGCAACTAGATTCAACATTCTGATTTTAGATAAAAGAATGTGACTGTTTGCCCAGCGATTATTTTATCAAATGATATGTATTCTATTACATTGCTCCTCCTGGGGGTAGCTTTAAGTCTAGTTGGATTTCAATCTTCCTTTCATAAAGCAATGAAATAAAGTGACTTTTATCCAAAGCACTTTTCTGGGCTTGTAAATTTATATTGAATGCATAAGAGTTATAATTCATTTGGTTGATGAGAAGCGATATGTTGAGCCAATACATATTCTAGTATGCTTATTTTCCCTTCAGGATTCATAGGAGAAGACCAGGTTGGCGCATCAAAAAGTAGCTATTATGCTTTCAAAGGTAGAATCAACCTCTGGATCAGACCAAGAGGAATACAAATGTTGAAAATAGACTATGTCAGGAAATCTAAAGCAATACCTATATATGATCTGGGAAAAAAACACTTCTGACCTTGCAGTGCTTGCCATCAAATTGTCTTCCTTACCAAGATTAGTTGATTGACTCGTGCATCAGTTTTGTATTTACTAAGTAAGTACTTGCTACGATGGCGCCGACATCCACATTAGTAAAACGAGAAATTCAATTGAGATTCTAGATCGCTTTTGAAGATTACTCTTTGAAATCCCAGCTTCTCCTGGATTCCTAGAGGCTGTGTTGACTTTCTCTTGTAGGGGAAGAGATAAGTAGGTGAAGATGGCCTTTTGCCTACGTGACTCAGAGTAGCTGAGGTTTCTTGTTTAACCAAGCTCATTTTCATTATTAGTATTTACCTTCTGAAAGTCACTATAAATACTGAATTAGCAAGCATTAAGTTGTTCTCCTAGGCATAATATGAGGTGAGGGCTCTTTGAGGCCCTGATCACAACTTTTTCATCAAGTAACCAATACATTGCTTTTGTTTTATATGTTTTATGTTCAGACACCTTATTTGATACATATGTTATTGATTTATTTATGCTGAATGCTTGGCCCACAGCACAACAGTCACTATTTGAGAGAAATGTATTTAATACTTTCTTCATAAGCTTATCAAGACATATTTTTGCTTTGCCTTATAACAAATGTATCAAGGGAAAATTAAAAATAATAGTCATATATTCCTTAAAGGTTCTATTCTTGCAGAGTTCAATGCTTATGGTCAGGGTAGTGACCTTCTGGTGGCAAGACAGACAAGTAAACAAATAAATGTAATCATGCACAATGACTTCTAGAAATATATATTTTCTAGTTAATCTGACTATTAAATTATTTTAACAATTGTTTTCTCAGGTACATAACAAAGTCTGGCATTTAGGAGAATCAATGGTGGAGAATCAATAAAGCCAACTAGGAGGGCTTGGTTTAAGAACATTAAATTTTCTATTCAATTTGTGGACAACCAGCAAGGAGTGGAGTATTAGACTGAGTCAAAGTTAAACACATTGGTTGGTACTGTAAAGCATTCTGCTCACACTCTAGCCTTTACACTTTTGAGGGCATGGAGGGGGGATGCAATATGGATTATTTTATACTAAAAGAGGTGGCTTTCTATAAATTTACTTTTCAATTCCTTATGAAAATATTGAAACAAAATGGAGTAATACAAAGAATCTCTTTCCTCTTTCTTTAGTTATTGAGAGACAAGCAAGTTCCTAGGGAAATATGGCAAACATTTAAGACTACATGGCTTATTATAAAAAATTCAAAGAGTTTTAAAATAAATTTGAAATGGGCTAGTGTGCTAACTCCAAAATGCCTTTTCCTGATCTAAAACTTCCAATTTTCCTTCTTCCAAGCCTTGTATTTAAAACAGAAATAGACTTTGTTGCTCATTTAAGTGATCTCCAGTCATTCAGGTGTTTATTTGCATCTCCTTGGAGTTTCTGAAGATGCCTTTTCATTAGTTTAATACTAAAACAGGAGGGTGAAGCTATGTTTACTTGATCAACAGAGATGAATAAATAATTCAATTTCTAAACATTTAACCTGATGTGTGAAAATATCAAAGATCTGTGATCTAAGTTGATTCAATTTTTAGGTTAATTTTAAAATTTAATGTAATTTAACATATTGAGTGAACCTGCAGTCATTGTTACATATGCAACTGAGTCATCTTTATAGTCTGACTCCTCCACTAGTTACATCCAATAGTGTTCAAATATAGGTGAGCAACAGATGCTTATTCAGCTTAAACGAATATGACTTTGTATATGGCTCATAAAGTTGCTCAACTGAGTGTTCAATCCTTAATTAATATAATTATTTCATACATAAACCAGAATTGTCTATCAAGAGTGGGCACAATTTTCAGGGCCTTTTATTTTAATTAAATAGTACTAAAATTCTTGACAATCTTTGTAAAAATCAGGACATATCTGAAGGGATCAGGCTGCTGACATCCATAGAAAATGTACAATGCTGGGTAAACTCTTCAGACCTGAACTTCTATGTTAGTTGCATTTGGATCTTTGTCATGCTTTCTAAGTATCCAGAAAAAGTATCCTCGGACAATGGTACTCCCTAAATAATACACCCAAATAAACTATGTTATTTTCTCCTGTGTTCATGCTAGAAGAGCTGTTTGACTGTGAAGCAATTTGCAAAAAAATTGGTCTGCATATGTTCCATTGACTGTACACAGACACTCTCTAGTGGTTCACACTTAACTTCCATTAACCCAATTTTCTAGTCTCCTTTACTAAGTAAACATATACTATGGTTCTACTACGGCTTGTTTTTCCACAAACTTACAAAACAACTTTCAGGTGTCAAATTGACAATTTAAAATATTTATGACTAAATTCATAAAGGTGTCTTGAACTTGATTTAGAATGTTCTGGCTTTCCCTGTTATATGCATTGACTTTCTGTAGTAAAGAAATTGGACATGGTGTATTTTCAGTAGTTGGTATCTTCTGAAATTAGGGTATATGCAGCGAGAATTATGGATTTTTTATCTAATAATCTGAATTCCTTGTTCAAGAAGTGAATTTTGGATAAGACAATTTATCTTTCATAAAATTTAGGATTTTTTTTTGCATTTTTAGCCTCATTTTGTTTCCAGTCACTTCTTTGTTGTCTCTTCATCGTATTCATGATATCTGCATTTTGAATTTTTATGTATTTGACTTACATGTTCTTGAGACTACAATTCCCCTGGTATTTTATGTATATTTTTCAAATTGGATAATTATTCTTGATTAAGCGTTGATTTTGCTGGATCTTTCCTCTGTGGTCTCTGTCCTGTAAATAAGCTATTCTAATGTCATATATTTAAATTTCAAGTCCTCTTTTGGTTCTAGGATTTTCATGTAGTTCACTTTTAGTAATTTCAACTTTTCTGGTCTCTTCATTATTCACTCACAGTTTTAGCATAGTAATGTGACTAGCACATAGTCTGATAATTTAACATCTGGGTTAAATAACAGATGATCTGAATTCTACTTTCTTTCTTCTTGTAGCCCAGGCAGGCTTGACACACGTGGGAACTTTTCTGTTGCAGCCTCCTGAGTGCTGGGATCGCAGGTGTGAATCATCAAATCCAGCTGTTCTTTTTCTTGACAGCACACCATATTTTCTAAAATTGTCTTTCTATCTGGTACTTCTGAACTATTTCTAGATATCATAAATATTGGGATGTTGTAGATTCTGGTTTACAGTCTAGATTCTGTTATATTCCTTTGAAGTTTTCTCATTTTGTTTGTTTGAATAGGTACTTCACATAGTTAAATCCAAAGCATAAATTCCCAGTTGGACTGTTGGTAACTTAAATATCCGTTGAGTTATTTTAGATCTACTAATACTCTTGGGTTCCTTTGAACATAAATGGTCAGATGGAATCTATCTATCTATCTATCTATCTATCTATCTATCTATCTATCTATCTATCTATGGGAAGAGAGGGGAGGCACCTAAGTTCCTAGCCCTTCTGAGAAGACTATCCTTTACTTTTAGGGTACTGTAATTGCTTTGTTCTAATATTATGCAATATAGGAACTACTCAGCCATAACCATTTTCTCTTAAGTTAGACATATAATCTATAACACTTTATGATGATTATAATGACTGGATAAGAATAAACCAAATTTTAACAACATATTTTTCCCCCACAGAACTGATTTTGCTGTTTAAGTAAAATGAAGAATAGTAGGCCAGAGAAGACTGCCCATTATAACATTCCAGCAAATCTATCACATATGTTTGTTTCCAGTCTACATTCCCAGAGAATATCGAAATAGGTAACCCCATTTAGTTTAATCTATGTGGACTTGCCATTCCCGTCTCTTTTTGTAATCATCTCTCCATTGTTTGTATGTTTTGCCTTGTACTAGCAGCCCTTAGCTAGGAAGGAGCAGTCTTTTTCACCATGAACTTTCCAATCCTCAATGTCTAGATGCAGAGAATTCTTTCAGTTTGACCTTTCTGTAACCTCTTAGTATGATGCTCTGGTATGGTTTGATGGCTCAACTGTTGGGGACAAGTGAACATTAGAAGAAAATCATGCCATTTTCGATCTTGGGACTCTTTTGCCTTTACTTAGATAAGATGCTATAAAAAATATAATCTGATTGTCTCAGCTTTTGAGGTGCAAAGTGCAAAGGGTTTCCAGTAAGAACCAATCTCCCTGTATTGTCTGCTTTAAAATCAGACAGAAAGTTCAGACAGATATTTCTTTCTAGAATATGACAAGTATCCTGGCAGCTTTGTTCAGATGCAAAAAGAACAATGCTTTAAAAGCTGCCTCTTGACTCTACATAGAGATCATTGAATGAACAGATAGAACAAGAAAAGTGAAAATTTAGATATTATGGAAATGAAATGCTTAAATGATAATGGGCAATTTTCATATCACTCAGTAAACTGAGGATCTATTAAGCCCTTGTTTATGGCATGAGTTATTTTGAATTTAACTTGAGAAAAAACCAAAATAGAAGAAGTGAAGGAATAAGAACCTTATCTTTAGTAATACAGGAAATAATAAACCTATCAAAAACTTTGGAGGGATAAAGTGACTAGCATGATGGAAAAGGTGGTGCAGAACCACTGTTGAATGGATGTTCTATGTTCTTTCTTTCCTTCACAACTAAATCAAAGATCTTATTGAAGGGGTACCACCACATTTGGGACATATATGAGCTGACTTCTCTCATCAAGAATGAAATTCTTCTTTTTAATATATTACTTTAGTTATTGGATAGAAAAACTTTTGGGTACTGAGTCATTGACTTGAGAATAGGGACAAAGATGGAAAATATGTCCATTCTCTGATTTAGTTTGCTTAGGAGAGAAAAATGTCTTTGAAAATTAAGTACTGTGTTCTTCTTAAAAGGAGACAGATATCCATATAATATTTAGAAAAGGAAAGTGTACTGGTGAATTAGCTTTTCTTCAGTTTATGACTATTGCTATAATGTTCACCTTATATTTCAATAAATATTTGTAGATTGACAATGTCAATAACATCACCTTTCCAAAAGATTTTTCTGTTGCATATTCTTTCCTATTTATTTATTTGCACCCTTTTTCCTCCTTGTATCTATTTTTTATGGTGAGGAAGAACCTTCATTTTCTACTATTTGGATTGTTGTTGTTGTTTTTTAAGAGAAATAGTTCAAATCAGTACCTTAAAGTAACTTTAAATACATGATTCTGCATATGGCTTAGTAGGATTGAGAACATAGTCCCTAGGCTTGCATGGTGGCATGGCTGTCTCATCAGACAGGGCAACTTTACTTCTAAGAAAAATGGAGTTTAGGAAAGACAGATGAATCTTCCATGTTGTCATCTATTTTATTATTCTCCATTCTCTGGCAATAGGGAACATCTTCTTTACTCATACTTAAATGATGGGGTCTACTAGAACCACAAAACAATGTTCTGGATGAAAAATCATTTCCAGGAAATTGGGCTTTGATAAATACACTTGTGATAAACTACATTTACAAGGTGAGATAATAAATTTCACCTTGTATCTTCCAGAGATAGCTTCAAGGACCAGAAACATTTCAAATATGCCTGTTTAAGAAAATTCCTGAAACAATTTTTGCTTCCCTATTCGAGTGGTCCTATGCTGCTTGTTTATGGAGGGTTCGATTTAGCCAATTCTCGTTGAAAAGCAATAGCTAGTCAAATAGAGAAAGTACCTGAAGCAAATGTCCTCATTTATTTCTTCTAGGAGAAGGGTAGGCTGTGTACTTTACGAACTTGAGTTAACCTTTAGATTATAATCATTGACTTTTGGCCTATACTATTTAAATGATTTGGTGAGAGGTTTGGGTTTCCATACTTTCTCTCAGGGATAAAATAGACATTTGGGATTGTGAAAGAAAACACATTATGGCATCACTTATTCACCATGTAATGGAGCTGATACTGGCAGCCTATTCTCATGTTGTCTAGCCTTAGACAAAAGGAAGTTTCACTTTTAGATCCATAGAGAAATATATTCAGATTTTCGTTCTTTTCTTTTTTTCATAATAAAACCAGCCACATTTCAAAACAGGCTAAAGTATTACAGACTCTTGCAAGTGTGGCTGCAAAACATGGTATGCTGTGTGAGACTGGGTTCATTCCTAAAGACAAAGGAGGTGACAGCAGAAGGACATATTGTCACCTAATAGAATCATTTTTGCCCAGGTTGAGGACTAACATTCAAATCTTGAGTGTTCAGTAAACACTTAATTCTTTCTTATAGTGTACCATGGTTTTTCTTTAGGAGATTTATTCCTATATATCTAAACTAATAAGTTTGTTAGATTAAAAATGTACTGACGGAAGAACCAGCTTTTTGTTTTTTATGCCTACAGGATAAACTTTGTTTCTTTGGCTCTAAGGCATGTGAGAGAATCCACCTCTTATCTACACACTAGTGGAAAGTTTTCTGTTTATTTCTCTGGCTCTCCTAAGTTCTTGTTGACATTTTCCCAGGAAGTCAGCAGCGCAGTGGCCAGGCCAGCCCTCCAGACATCTGCTCACCAGTTTCAACAAAGGTTCTAGGCAATGGAGGAGCCACAGGATAGACACAGGATGATTTTGTGATGGCTAAGAATAGCTTGACTGGATTAAGACATACTTGGCATGTCTTCCACGAAGACAGCTTATGAAAGGGAAATCATTTAGCAAAGACAGCTAATGATTTTATGAGCAAGAAGTTGTGTAATAAATTCATTGGAAATGACAAGCATGGAGATACAACGACTTAACCACTTGGTAAGAGTTAGCAGAAACCTTGTGAGCTTACAGCAATAGTATGCTCTTGGGGAATCCTAAAAGTGTTATCCTTCTTTTGGTCTAGGACAATGCCTTAAAAACAAGCAAGGCTTTTTGTTGGTTTATTGGTTTTTTATTCTCATTTGAAGGATAGGTTTGCACTAGTTTCTACAATTTCATAGTAAACTTGGTAATGGGGTAGAGACTAGCTTTTTTGAACTATTTCAAGATGATAACAAGGTTAGCAAGATCTCACAAACTGTGAGGGTCCTCTTTGCTAATAACAGCAGGGGAGCAAGCTAAGCAGATGGGAGAAAATCTATTTGTGAGCTTAAGTACTTCACAGTGTGACAGAGCACCAGTCGCAGGTCAGTGTGGTTGGTTATTCAATAACTGAAGAGCCAACCTTTAATGAGAAATGAAAAAGCCAAAACTCTGACTGTCCTGAGAGATGCTTAGTGCATTGCTTCTACTTTGATGGAGTTGGCTCATTAATTAACCATACTATGCATGGCTAATGATAGAGAATCATTGCAATGGATGAGACTGTTTTATTTTTTTCAAGAACATAAGGAAATAACAGACCATCAAGAGTATAGAAAAGAGAGATAGGACTGAATGAGATTGGGCTATTTTTGAATCCTATCTCCAAGTAGTCATAACAAGAAAGAAATTTGCCTTCACAGAACTTTAGTTTCTTAACTTTAAATATAGAGTAATATCCACTTCTCACTGGAGATGTTAGCATTAAAATAAATGAGATTTATTTTATTTCAATCAGTTTGAATTTAAAAAGAAAAGTCATCAAGAAAAACCCATTTGATTACATAATCAGGTAAGATAAGACTTTGTGTCCATTAGCAGATGGCAGGGATTTTAAAGAAGAATCACAATGCTTTTCTGAATATATTCAAATGGCAAGTGATTAGCACTGTAGGTTTCATTAGAAGCCAAATTAAGCTTCTTTCCCACACTATGCACTGTTATGCAGGATGCTCTGCTCTGGGCAGATTTCATGCATTTTTGTCATTGGGTTGGCATAACTGTCAAATGCCAGATTTGAAAGATGAGGCTATCTACAGATGCTCACATAATACAGTTAAGCAGAGAAACAAAAGTTAAAATATGCCCTGGCTAGTTCTGTATGCTAGATAGTTTCAGTTTCTGCTTTTCGGTTCCCTCTCCTCCCCATTCCCACTACCCTGAAAACATATAAACATCTATCTACATCTACTAGAGTTTCCTTGATCGCCAGTTTCTGGATTCAGCTCAGTGAATGAGACCCTCTACACAAACTAGTAGATGAGAATGAATTAGGAGAAAGCGAGCCCCCGCCCACACCCCCCTTGGTGGTTGTGTCTGGAGACAGAAGTCCCAAGGTTTTGAAGGCCAGTCCTCATCATACCACTTCACTGTCATTAGAGTCCATGTTTCCCTCCTGTGCACTCGGGGGCAAGAGTGGTGAGAGTTCCCACTGCATTGTCCACATGTGTGTACTATGATGGAATATATGCATCTGTCAATGTGTCAGAACAGAAAGGATCAAACACTGGCAATTTCATATGCAATGTAATCATCATATTATTAAACTGTTTTGTAATTGACTTTATAGCATCATGCGAATAGCAACTAGCTAATATTTCTATTTTCCCAGCTGACTAAAGTGTAGCCACATTCAGAAACTATTATGAGGAGCACAGTCTAAGAGAAAAAGAAAGAATGTTAAAGACAGGTTTGAATTTCATAAGTAACCCTCAGGAGAATTTTGGCAAAAGGAATCCATGGCAGTTCTAGGAGAGAGAGCCAAATGACAAGTTCTCAATAATACAAAGAATAATGGTGCACATGACATGAGTTTCATGGATGTCTGTCGGGTAGACCTTAAGATTTTTTTTTTATTTCTTTATGTCAGTATGGATCTTTTCCAAGCATGTAGACATAGAACTTGACCATATTTGTGTCATTTATTTGAGTCAATGTACAAGTGCTTACAGCTAAGGTGACTGCAAAAGCCCATCCTAGCAGCATAACAATTACTTTTTTTGTCCATATATAATAATCAGTGGCAAACCGGGATTTACTGAAAACCACTGGTATGGCATGTCTAGTATTATTTGTATTACCAAGAAGTGCTCAGTGTTATTCCCATAGATATTAGTAGATCATTGCCACTGATAAATTATTGGGTTGTCATAAAACGTATGATTCATATGCATTCATTGCATAATTCTTACTTACCTAAGTTTCAAAGCTCCCCACCCATTTAACATGTAACAATTACTTTCATGAATCACTGATAGGCTTTCTTAATGCAAAACTCTACTTCAGAAGTAATTATGACTATACTTTAAATAACTAAGTCAACCTTTGGCATCATGTTTAATATTTATAGGTACTGTGTTCTTCATAATAAAATTAAAATCAAAACCCAATAGTGCTTACTGGATCCCGTCGCACCAGATCACCGTTGGGCACGACCTCAACCAGGTGGATGATGATAATGATAGAGTTTAGGATGTAAGTGAGAAACATGTTCTTGTGCACCGTCACCCTTTGGCATCTCAGGCTCCTGGGAGAAAAACAATGAGAGATTAAACAGAAGAAGAACTGACAAAGCAACAAGACACAGAGAATCAATTGCTAGCATTAGAAGTGTATTTTCAATTATATTGATCAAAACACAGCAGAGCAATCACAACATGCGATTAATTTTGGGATGTCTCTTTATTTCTCAGTTGCCCTTTACAAACAAATAAATCATCATGACTCACAACAGCTTTCATTAAAAGGCATGATGCTAAAACCCTACCTTTGAATTCTTTTTTAAAAATAAAACCACAAGAAAAGTGAAAGAATAAAAAATCTTTAAAATTATAATCACATAAAATAATAAATGTAGCCATGGCTCAAAGATAAGTGCTAGGGGCCATTTTTTGAATCCTTGTTTCACTAGAGGATTAGTATCTTGCTAAGAATGTGCTTACGGATGATTGCTCTCCCCTTGGGCTAATAATCTCTAGTATTATCAAGGTATTATTTTAATGAAAATCAAATTAACACTCTATTATTCTATCTATAAGTGACTATATATATAAATGCATGTAACATACCTTAAACATAGAGAATTATTTGGATTTGGAACACAAGGAAAGCTCTCCAGAACTTGTATTGTTCTACAGCCATTATTAGTACCAAACACAATAATGATGATAGCAATGATAATTATACCAAACACTTATTTTGCGTTTATTTTATGTCAGTCAATAATTTAGGTACCGATTATCTAAATTATTAGATAATTATTAGATAGATACTAATTATCTAAATTAGTATCAGATTATCCCTACTGATACTTTTTCAGTTTCTGTCTTACTTAACTGTGGAGTCATAATAAAGAATGCACATTTGGCTTACTTTAAATTTACAATTGTAACACAGGATATAAGGCATAAATTATGGATATTTTATTTTAATGAAGCTTCATTGTATATATAAGCTTTTACTGTGAGATAACCCTTCTCTACTCTGTGAATATATGTTGCTCTTGTTGGTTAACAAAGAGGTTACTCTGGCCTATAGCAAAGCAGAATATAGCCAGGCGGGAGAGCCAAATTATAGGTAGAGAGAAGGACAGAGTTGGAATAGATATGAACCAGCAGCCTAAGAAGCAAGATGCCAGAAGACTTATTAAAGCCAGGGCCACATAGCAATACATAGATTAATAGAAATCGGTTAATTTAAATGTAAGGTCTAGTTAGTAATTAGTTTGAACTATAGGGCAAAGAGTTTGTAATTAATACAAAGCCTCTGAGGGATTATTTAGAAGTGACTGTGGGATGGGGGAGGGACAGAGAAACCTCAATTTACAGCATTTCTAACTTATTTTTATTTGAAATATATGTAGGTGTATTCCTGAGTCTGGAGGGGTTGAGGATGCAACTGTGTGTTTATGAGTGTGAAGATAGAGGTTAATATTTGAGTCTTCTCTGATTGCTCTTTACTTTTTGGGACATAGTCTCCCATTGAGTCTGGAGCTTGTCATTTCAGCTGGATTGGGTGGACACTGAGGACACCGAGCCTCTAGCAACCATATTCTCTACTGATGCCTTAGTGCTGGGGCTACAGACAAGCTGTACCTGGATTTTACATGGGCACTGGGAACCTGTGTTCAGGTCCTCTTGCTTTCATGGTAAGCTCTTTACTCATGAGCCATCTTTCCAGCTCCAAGAGTTCATAATACAAAACACAGTTATTTAAATGATTTCTATATACATTCATTTAAAGAGGACATAATGCCTTAAATAGTAAGATTATTTTTGCATGTATTTTTCTCATATTTGTTTCTGCTTTAATTGTTCATGTATTAAAGGAACAAGTACACCATTTGAATTAGGTTTGGCAGAGACATCATGCTGTAATGGCTTATTTTTTTTAATAATAAAACCATTGTGTCTTCAAACCTCATCTTTCTGGACTCCTATCTGTGAAGTAATAGCAGATGTATATTGCCAGACAATATCCTTAGACTATTTCACCTATTTTGGCGTTTGTATTTGTCAACTATTGGTGATACGCATCTCTAAGCAGGAAATATTTACATCAACAAAATAAATAACACTCTCTCCACAAACTGGGAATTCTACAGGATTTCCACAGCACCTATTTATGTCCATGGAAGAAATTTAGCTGTTGTTTAGGTATTTGGCTCTTATTTCCTCACAGAGAACAAACAGACTTCTCATTTTTCCTCAGCAGTCTTATTTTATGCAACAAAATATAGAAGAACTCAAATTTTATACTGAAACTAGTGTAAACATTTAAGTGGAAGATACTATCCCAGAATATAGGACTTTTCTATAAGGGTAATGCAGTGCCTCCTTACTTTATTCTAGAGAATTATTTTCTAATATTTATCATGTCATAATCTTACCACATGTTAATGTCTCACATATCCTAGAGATTCATGCCTAAAATACAAAATTACCATACTAAATTTCCTCACTATTAACTTTCTCTCCGCCAAGTTAATAACTTCATCATAAGTAATACAACCAAGTATATAGATAAAACTTTATGTTAAATCCTTCACTGAAATTTTGTTCCCAAGTATCTTAGAAAGTTATTGTTTCAACAACAACTAACAAGGTCAATGAATTGGCACTGGATAATGAACTAAGTTCTTTCAGAAGCTTTCTTTAAGCTTACTTGATTGAGTCAAAGTCACAGAGAAAGTCAGAATGCACCCTTCCTTCTCAGTGGGATGTTCTCATATGTGGCCGGTACTACTCATGCTCTGGTTAAATTCACTTATCATACAACTCATAATTAGGTTGGCTGCATTTGAACTTGAGGATGTGTGAGTAAAAGAAAATAGAGGATCTCATCTGTCCATGGTGGAAACTTAGCTGTGTCAAAGGAATTTTTATTGTATGACCACAGGGCCCTCATGGGTTTGCAAAATTAATATGGGAAGGAGACACATTGCCTTTGAAGATGATAAGGAATAGATCTTGTTTTCTTCAGAGTAGAGTTCAAAGTATGTTTAGCTCATTTCAGTTTTCTTGCTAATTTATCATGCTCAACAGCACATGCTCCTACAATCCCCATAACTCTTTCAAGAATTACTGTTATTTATGTAAATAAAAATGACGATGATAATAATAACAAATAATGAAGGGTGACACTTCAAGAACTTTGTTATGATACTGTCTTGCTGGGAATGAAGATGCAAAATAAAGTTGACCCTAGAATAAAAACAAAGCAGTATTTTAAATGTGCTTACTTGAAAACCAGGTAGATCCCCAGGGAAGCAACCAAAGCAGCAATCGACAAAGAATGACCCACAAGAGCCAGGTAGTACAGGACATATGCATTCTATATCAGAAAGAGTTGGAAAATCATTTAACTATACAAACCAAGGATGTGTAGAGAAACAGTAGCTTCTATTTCTAAATGTACATATAAATCAATAAAGATTTACACCTTAAAATGTATCTTAAAATTATAACAAATATTTCAGAGTATCAAATTATTTTTTCTATATTAATGGTGTACATAGAAACAAACTTTCAAAGAACCACTTTCATTTTCAAAGAACAAAATTCCTTGGCACAAAATCATTTAAAATGTTGCAGAAGTGATTTTAAATAAATGAAAAGTTATTATTCTTAATCTTAGTAAGCAGTCTAGGAATCCTGGGTTCCTGTGCTCAGCAACAGGTATGTCAAATTCACTTAATTGTAGATGGATAATATTTCCAGATTCCAACTGAACCCCGAAACTTAGAACAACTCAGAGATTAGGGAGGCTTGTGGCAGAGCTTTTCACATTTATTTAACTCTAAATTCAAGGATATAATACCTTTCTATATCAATTTAAGTAAAATAGAAAATTTCCATTAGTGTTTTATTGGCTGAAGAAACCAACATTATCCTTGTAAGCAATTTGCTAATTCTATCCTTTTTATAACCACAATTAATTTATTTTTGTTCTCTTGCTGTTACGTTAGCCGACTCAAAAGAATATTTTCCTTAGTAAATTCAGAACATTATAGTTTCTTTTTTCACATCTGGTACCTGAAAGAGAATATTTCTTCTCACAGTCATTTCTTTCTTACACGTGGTAAAGTCTTTGAGGAGCTCAAACAGCAGCATTGAGAGTAGTTTATTGATTTGTATTGCTCCTAATGCCCTAACTAACATAGTCATATGAACCTAATTAACATGTACTCTTGAAATTCCTTACGTGGTTATATCACATTCATCAAACTTCATTAAGTGAATAGTTCTCCATTAGGGAATAGACATATATCTATGATGTGGAAGAGTTAAACATTTTGTAAAGAGGCCAAAGACTTTTGTAACTTCATCTGATTTTGAAGGTGTCCCACTAGTCAACTGGTCTTTATTTACTTTGGTTTTGTTGTTATTTTTTTAGTTTTAATAAAGGAAAACATTTATATGTTTATGAACTTTTTAACAGCTAAACAAAGCATGAAGTGCTTTTAGTTACTTAAAGCACAGGCCTCTCTTTGAAGGAAATGTTGTAGCTTGCAGGATTCTTCAGAGATTTTCTTTACAGCTAAATATTGATGTCATTTCTCCCAGCTCTCATGGCAAAGGAGTTAGTGGTAGATTTAGTAATATCTTCAGATTTTTAATGTAGCTAACGACAAAATAGCATATGTTTCCCTTCTCAAGGGACTTAAAATAAAAGTTTTAAAGCCAAGATATTATTAAAAGTATTTTACAGCCTGTAAGGCATGAATATTATCAAATCGGAGTATACACCTCTGGAAATTATCTGTACTGCTCTCAATATATCAGTGGGTCGTTGGTAAGCTTCACCAAACACAATAGTAAAATTGAGATCATATCCAACATGTGTGTTAAGAGAATGTAACTTTAACTTGTTGATTTCTGAAAACTGGAGCTTATGGAACTCTCTCAGGAGGAGGAAGATATTAATGAGCTCCTTAAAATGCTGCCTAATTTCTGGCACCAAAGGAAATCTCATTATGTGCTGTGTATAGAGAATTATCTTTATCATAACTGGCCTTACTTTACATTCAAGCAAAATTATTGCTACTGAGTACTAACAAGAAGGGAAATGCTATTTTCCCTAATGTTCTAAAGAAACCCTCTTTCCTTACATAGCAATCTGTTGGTCTTTTGTTTGTTGGTTGTTGGTAACAAATATCACATAGTTCTGCATCCATTTCCATGAACATACAATGGCACTCTCGTCCAAGATTAAATTTTAAGTAGAGCTTACATGCAGCTTCTCAGAAGTGAAAGCATTACACAGAGTATAGTTGGACCAGGTTCGATTGCTGTCAGGGTGTCTGAACCACTCTCCATTTTCATCACAGTATTTTGAAACCTTTTCTGTTAACGGAACAGAATGGTAGTGCATTAATATCACAAATCTCAAGAAGAAAAGTAATAGCCTAAAGTTCACAAGCCATTCCTATTGGTGAATCAAATTGTAGAACACAAACATAGAGATAACATGGAACATCTTTCTACTTTGGCATTTAATGTGATAGAGTGAGTCTAGGTACAGGGTCTCAGAAGTCTCCTTGGTAAATGCTCCTGTTTACACTCTATCATATTACTGTACACTACGTCCTCTTCAGAATCCAATACTGAACTCACTTGTTCACTATTTGCTTTTGTGCTGTATGTGTGTGTGTGTTTATGTTCCTGTGTGTGTGCGGTCTGTGCAGAGCACAGAGGCAGGTGTATTATAAATTTTCTCAATTGTTTTTCCTCTTGTGTTTTGAGACATGATCTCCGAATGAACCTAGAGCTCGCCAATTTGGATAACTTGGATGTATCTTTCTGCCTCTGCTTTCTCAGCGCTGGGATATAATGGTGTGCGTCTATGACCAGATTTTAACGTGGTGTTGGGAGAACAAACTCGCATCTTCCTGCCTTTACAAACTTGCTGATTGAGACTCCTCAGTCCACCCCATCTGTCTTATACCTAGAACTTCTTCAAACATGAAACCTCTTCACATTTTACTGGAGTATTTTTGTGATACTAAGATGTAGCCCTATGTCAACAAAAAAACCTAAAGAATTGAAATGTGTTGAAGACAGATGTGCTTTTCTTTAGAAGTGATTTTGACTCTTAGCTAATATGAATCCATCTAAAGACTAGACTGAAAAGACAGATCTATGACTGGAAATCTCCACTTCACTTATCAAAACCTTGCCTTTAAGTTAATATTTATAGCTAGTTTGGCAAGAGCTCATTGCAACTTTCGATCTGGCTTACTACTCTCAATTGCAGAACAGCTTTTTTATTCCAGTCAAGTCACCTTAAATGAAGTTGCAGATCAAGATAAATGAATCGTCATGTGCTGGACAGAGATAATAAGGGCTTGAAGGATTCTCATCATGCAGCGTTTTAGTTTTCGTTTACAGGAATGCAGTTCAGAATCCTTCCTCCATACAGCACTTTCCAGAGGGAGATTCCTGGAAGTGTCTGGCCTACACTGGTTTTTTATTTTGTTTCACATTATTTTTAAAAAGAAATCCTTGATTATACTTTGATTATATCTATTGTTCTGGGATAGGATTTTGGCTTTAATGATAAGTGAGATCTTCCCTTGAAGAAAGCCCCTAAAGTATTTTCCAAAAAAATATCTGATCCTATGGAGATCTAGAGAAACTTAAATACCTTTGACTAGATCAGAATTTTTGACATTTGCAAAAATATCTCTTCTTTTTCTAGAGACTGATATGTTTGTCTCTAGCTGATTCCATCTATGTCTGTTTTGTCATCTGGACCTCTTTTATAACTAAAGTTTATATATCCTTCTCAGCATCTCCTAGATTTAATTCAGTGGGACAGATCTTTCTTTTTCTTTGGTGGCTGGGTATAATTTTTCTGGCTCTCACCAGGCAGTTCCTGTAGTAACTAACTACCACCACTAACCCTTTTGTGTCTGCCTTCTCAAACTCATCTGGTGTACACTGCTTCCTAAGGCACAGCTGTTTAGTATATTTAATTGTCCTGCCAAGCCCCTAATCACTTCTAGACCTGGATTTTCTTAATCTTTTATTAGAGTCCATTTACCCAATGCCTTTTTCTACTCACATTTTTTTTCCTGTATAGTTGTGGACTGAAGATGTAAGAATCTACCCATATGCCACTGTACTATTTATAAGTATTGATTATTGAACTACCTAAATTTCATCTAACAATATGTGTGTGACAGGATCAAGACCTGAAAAATCAACATGTCTTCTCCTAAAAATTATGAATATAAAACGTGTACACGTTTGCATGAAGATTAAGAAATATTTAATTCTCTATTGAGGGATGTCAAGATCATATGCTGAGCTAGAGTCACCACAGTTTTGTGTTAAATACTGTAAGTATAAAAGGAGATAATAAGTATGAAATTACAGTGTGAAAGGTGATGTCAGTGTGAAATATTATATGTACCTTTCATAGTTCAGGTGCATTTGATTCTACTTGTCCACTTAACACATTTTTAGTCATAACAAAAATCATAACTGAAACTAATGACCTTACCAGTTACGTCAAAGTCTGGAAAGTAGTCTGGGCAATGCTGATAGGCTGTCACTCCAGCTGGCGTGTCATCCCAGCACAGCCATCCGTCCCAGGTGCGGTTGCAGTATGGACCTGGGAGTTTAGAGAGAAATTGACATTGGAAGATGGGACCTAACGAAAGGACTGTTTAGAAGAAGCTGTCTTCACATAGGAGGCTGGACCCTACCACTGCAATCAAGACAAATCATACTTCAAATGAGCCATTTTTACTTTGGAAATAAACTTTCAAATGATTAATATATCTGTGGAGAAATATCTCACTGGATAACAGGCAGGTTCTTGTTTTGTTTTGTAAGAAGTTATGAAGTTGGCTTTTCATAAAAGAAGGAACTCTAAATATTGCATTTCTGTCCATTTATTTAATTGATGGGGAAATATAACGTGTTGCTCAGAAATCATCAAATGGGATCTGAAGTATGTTTATAAGTTTTTACTTATAGAAAATTAACATTTTTAAGAGTGTTTACCCAAGAAGCTGAATTTAAATTGTAACATGCAAGGCAAGTCACGTTCTGCATTGCAGTTTGAAGAAAAACTCAGTGAGGGCATTATTTATCAAAATTTATGACACAAATTAATTTCTCAAAATCTGAAATAAACTTACATGAGGATATTTTCTAATTTAATAAAATACATCAGTATGATGCATCTAATAAACCTTTTTGTTTAGTTATTACTTAAAGAAAACTGTATATTAGTAGAGTATATTTAATCATTTGCCCCTTGCTTTGTTTTCAAATGTTCAAAGTTATACAAAAGTCTTAATTGAATTTTTTTTAAGTGTTTCAGAGACAAGGATGAGAATGAAAAGGCCTTTTTTGAGTTTTGCTGACAAACATTTTTCATTTTTATTTTTCTCTGGGATTTCCACAGCAGTAGACTACACTTAGCCCTGAAAATATTTAGGCTGTTACAAAGAAGAAATACATAGATTAACAATGCTTCCTGAGGCAAACTCTTTCCCCTTCTTATCCCCAATGGAACTGTGGGTGGGGTAGTAAGAGAGAAGAGATAGCAGAGGTTGTCAGTGAATTGACATCGAAGGAAAGATATGCCTAATTAATCCAAACAAGACAGGGTTTGCACAGGTTCTGCCTCAGGCAGTCTCTGCTCATCTCTTTCCATTTCCCCGCCATCATTCAGTACTGTATTGTTCCTGCTTATTAGGTGTGAGTGCTGTGATATTGTTGTAATTTTGTCGGAAGGGCAAATGACAGCCAAAATGATGTTAGATGAAGTAGGGGGAAATCATTGTTGCTGCACAAATAGACAAGCTCAACATAATGTGGGGACTGTGAATCTATTCTGTTACAGCTATCCATCACTGTAGACCTTGGGAAGAAACGCTCTTAAATGATGTTTCACATATAGGTTCACATGACTACTCTTACCTTCTCCTTCATAAGGGGGCAGCTCCTGTATTCTGTCATAGCAACTGTACTGGGCTTCCAGCAGCTTCTTGCGCCCAATAGCATACAGAAATGCCTCATTAGTAGGGCTGGGTTCACTGAGATTGGCAGGGGCCTGAACAACTGGAGTTGGGCTCTGTGTAAAAGGTAAAATCATTACTTAAAAGGTAGGTCATAAAGTAACACATAAATAAAAGTGATGATTTTAAAAGTATAAAAACTTTTTTATTTATAAGAAACATTTATGCATAATTCCACAGAAATATTCTATACTAAATGTATTACATTTCACATTCATATTTTATCCATTTATATTTGTACCAATATATATTTGCTATTAAGAATATAGGGCAACCATACACACTCACACACACCTTGATCATCTCCTATTTTAATTTCATTGTCTTTGGAAAGTTTACACATAAACAAAGTAAATAATTTTATTTCTGAAACATCTCCATTATTAAGCCAACTTTTCCAACTTTTGAAATCTTAAGAATCATAACTCACATATTTAAAAAAGTAGAAATGGTGGAATAAATATGCTTCCCTTTTGTAAATATTTTCAGATAAATTTTGCTCAGGTTTGGATTGTATGCTCTGTCAAAATTTGCTTCATTTATCCTTCAGAACAAACCAAATAATAAACTTCATATTGGCTCCACGAGCGCTTGACCTGCACACAGTCATTCATGTTCAGTGAGGAAAGCAAAGGTAATACTTAAATGTTTATATTGGTACATCAGGGTTCAGAACAAGTTGACTTTGTTTTCTATTTCATCACTGCCACAGGTCTTAGCTTCTTGTAAGTTGTGTTTTTGTACATATGTGTATGTGTGACTATTTACTGAAAATGAGAAGCCAAACATTACTGAGGATGCAGTACTGAAGCAAACAGGTGTGAATCCTGCTCCTGTGGAGCGCACAGTCTAAAACACAAGTGTTGTGCATGTTCCCGACACGGGTCCGGAGGAGTGGGGATGGCATGGAAGTGGGAGCAGGAGTGGTTGTGCTGACTGGAGTCGACTCACACTCACCATTCTTCCAATACTGAAACAAACTCCAGTGAACTTGGTTTGGAGCTTGGTTCAGTAGAGATTGTTTCAACACTGAAAGAATAAAATCAGAACCTCTGTTGTCAGATGAGCCATGGCATTCTGGACCTGCTCCTGGTCTGGTCCTTGCTTGAACACTGAAGGTGGGATGTTCCCAGTGGTTCCTGAATCTCTCAATGACTTTCTTCCTAAAATTACACACACCTTGGGTACTCCATTTACAGATGATGAATGGATAGATAGGCAGATAGAAATGTGTAAATGCAGATAGAAACATCTATTTCTAATCACGAAATTAGTACTGATTAAAACAGTATATTTACAATATTGTAAATTAAACTTTTCTAATAATTGCATGCAAATAAATTACTAATGAGATAGCATTATTTTCAACAGTAAAAAGGAAAAATAAAACCAGCAGTGATATCATGAGACAATCAAGCAATATGGAAGATGTGAAGAGATTCTTCTAATTTTAAATATTGTACTTATGCTAGCATGACGCCATGCTTACAAAGGTGGCAATGAGACACAAGCATGTTACATAATCTTAGAAACCAAGCTACCTACCTATCTGCCTACTGATATCTTAGTTGTTGTTCTATGTAGCAGTTTAGCTGTCATATATGTGGTGTCATTCCAGAGGATTGCAGAAGGTGTCATCACACATATCACAACCAAGCTGCCACAGCAGCAGTCAGCAGGTGAGGCATTACACTTTTTTACTTTTGCAGTAAATGTTCTAAATATCTCCCATATGTCAATCCTGTAGTAGGTTCTCAAAACTCAGCAGCGAATTCACTAGCATGGTTTCTGCCCCCATGGAGCGTACATTCTAGAAGGCTTAATTCATACTGAACATGAAGGACAAAAGAAAATATCTCAAATTAAATGACTACATGTTAAGGCAACTCCTAATTTGACGTGGGACAATCAGTTTTTTATGAGGGGTTCCCAGTGGTTTCTAGAACTATTGTAACAGTTAGAGCCTGTTCAGCCTTGAATGTTCAAAACAGTTCACTTCTTCTTAGTTTCTGCTCTGGATCCATGCTCCTGTGCTGAAGACAGCACTGCATGCAATTGTATCAGGCACAATTGCTCACAAAAGACTATGCATTCATTGAGTTTCTAAACATTTAAGTGAGAGGAAAGTGTTAAACAGCCTATTTGAGTCATTACTAACTTTAACATATCAAATGATCCCATTATAACCCGTAAATTAGAAAAATTAAAGTAATAATTGTAAGAAAGAATATTAGCAAGGTTTAGAAATTGGCATAATTAATAAGATTTCCATGCCAATATCCTTATCACTGAGTGTATATGTTACAATTACTTATGGTTTCGAATTATGTTTTTCAGGATAAGTAAGGATAAGGTGCAGTGCTCTAGTGTATTAACCCTGTTTTCCTACTGTGGTCAAGTGCCTGTTTGGTGTTCTACACAGACAAAGAATAACAAGAATCAAAATACTTCTGGAAGAATCTTGTTTCTGTCTGTGTTTCCCTCAGTATTGTCCTTCTTGCCAGTGCCATCCTCACCAGCATTGTCTGAGTGCTCCCTGCTGACCAGCACTGTCCTACGTCCGTAGGGAGTGGCAATCACTATGTGACTGATGCAGAAGAGACCACAGGATGGTGCTTGTCCAAAGACAAAAAAATCTATTTTAAGGACAAATTGGGAAATGAGTTGGTAGAATTTAATAAATATATTGTGAGTACTTTTTCACATTAATCTGTTATATAAAAAGTGATGGTTTAGGTTAATTAAGAGCATTTTACTTAAATTTCTTTCTGAGGTATATTAATAAGAAATAAGCTGTTTGGGAGGAATTGGTGTATCAAATTTTATGTGATGGAAAAATTCTTCAAAACAATTATGAAACTAATACAAAGAACACAATTTCTTTCTGTCATAGTAGAAACTATGGAGTAATCTACATACCCTACTCAAACATGTTTGGTAGAAAAAAAGATGCCTATAAATTATAGTTATTATAGCCTATAATATGTAAATATATGCATTTTCTATATTATAAAATAGATTAGCAAAATCTTTGAATAAAATTGATCTGTTAGCTTTGTAACATACCAAAAATGATCTGTAGTCTAATTTATTTTGTTAATCTTTAGTAGTTTTTTTTTTTTAAATCATACCTATTTCTTCCCCAAGTTTTTCCAGGGAGGGAAAGAATATTTTCAAAACATAATTAAATTTAAAAGTTGTTTTAAAATATAAAATACTAAGAAATAAAATCATGTCCAAAATCATGTGCTTTATGATCAATAAATACCTTACTTCTACATTCATAAATATTATGTAAGGGTTAGGCATCTGTCTACCTTTCCAACACTCTCATTGAAGGACTTTGTTTAGATTTATGATATGGAGTAACATGAATGCACAAGTATTAGGTTAATGTTATAAAATTATATTTTGCTAAAGAAATTTTCACTAGTTTTAAGTAATGTGTCACTTTGGCAGAATATTAAGCTAAGAGGTACAAAATGATTGCTAGACATTCCCATAAACATTTATTTGATCTACAAACAATCCCTTTCAAATTATATTCATATTTACCAAAAAGCCAGTAATTCTTTTCTTTACTTATACAGGTGAAGGAGTCTAGGTGGACTTACAAACCTGCCACTACATGGTAAAGAATAAATAAATGATGTCCTGGAACCCATTTCAATCCTTGCTTGGGTATATAGTATGAGATTTTAAATGATATTTATTGGCAACTGTGATTCAGCCTCAAATGTTGTTCTAATATGGCAGTAAAGATTTAGACAGCCCTCATTTGCTCATCTCCTGTTTACATAATATTGAAGGTCATGTGATGGTATGTTGATGCAAATAGATGCTGATAGTGTCTTCTAAAGTAATTAATCGTCTAACTAACTAAATCTTTATGAATAAAGCAACATGAAGTTACCTAATGTGAACCTGATCTAAAAAGCTGCAGAAGAATTACAGAGTGCCAGTGGTTCCTCAAATACTGATCAGAAATATTTCGGAATTCAGTCACTAGACTAATGGAGTTTAGTTTCTCTCTCTCTCTTTCTCTCTCTCTCTCTCTCTCTCTCTCTCTCTCTCTCTCTCTCTCTCTCTTTCCTTTTGGGTTTTAGAGTTAAGATTTCTCTGTGTAACAGTCCTGGCTGTCCTGGAACTCACTCTGTAGACCAGGCTGGCCTTGAACTCACAGATATCCTCCTGCTTCACCTCCCAAGTGCTGGGATTAAAGGCATGTGCCACAACCACCCAGTGGAATTTAGATATTTTAAAAGTATAGAAGAGTTCAGAAGCGACAATTCAAACTCACATTTGAAATACACGCAAAAATACTTATTCAGGAAAATTCTCAACTTTCTGTATTATGGAGATGACTCAATTTCTTATAAACTTTTCCAAACAAGTGGAACTCAGTTGTCTAGATAAACTATGATGATATTTAAAATGAGCAAAAGTTCAAAGGAAAGACTTGTTAACAGATGTGAGGAAAAATGACAGTTTAAAGAAACCCAGTTTTGGATTCCTTGCAAGTGTCAGTTCACCAACATTCAGACACTCTTCTCTACTCTGCACACTTATTAACACAAGTGGAACACTTTTCTGCACTTACGAGAAGAAGCAGGAGCAGCAGAGTGAACCGGTTCACCAAATGGAACCTCAGCTTCGGTTTGCGATGGTTCCCCCTTCTCCTAGAAATACACAAAAGTAACAAAGATTTAATAAATATATAGATCAGATATCCTTACATCATTCCCTCTTTAGACACACTAAATATAACATATGGAAACAAGAATATTATACTAGCAGGTACATGTTACATTGTCCCTTCTGTTAACCAGACTGGTGTCCTTAAGACACTATTAAAAACTTCTGATCATATCTATTAACGTTTTATTTTCAGCTCAAACAAGATTTCCTGGCTTTAAAAGGTTTTAAGTTGAATGAAACAGTTTAATACAGGTTATAAGAAAGAAAGAAAAATATATAACTGACCATGTGGGGGCAGGGAGCCAGGGGAAATGAGTATGAATAAGATAATCAGGTCATAAAATAAATTTTAGAATATCAAGCAGTATATAGGTACAATTTTAGCACTAACTTTATAATAGCACTAACTAGTATAATTTATTATTATTTCTCAAGTTTAGCAAACCATGTGTACTACGCTATAAAACAAGCAATAGGAAACAAAATACAATACCCACTAGAATGTTCACCAGATATTCAAATCATGCCATTAAAACTTTTTTCACTGAGACAATTTCAATAGTTTTTATTACTGATCTAAAAGGCTAATTATAATAGTTGGCATATGCATAAAACAAATAATACATATACAATGTATTTTCTTTGAAGCTTAAATATAACAATAACAACTTTGCATTTCATAAATGAAATACAGGCATTCTAAGAAATCAAGAACCATCAGCTGACTTGAATAGTATGTGTCACCAGTGGGAACTGGTGAATATTGCAATGGGACCGTCAGGAAGAACTCATTTTCCTGGGCATCAGCAAAAATCTGTGGTTTGTGAAAGATATATAACATTAGGTTAACTTCTAAAGTAATTTGAGAATGACAAGTTTTTTTTATAAATATGTTTCTTTAAACTTCAAGTTTCTATTGAGAGTAAAGTTCTTCCACAACAAAGAATGAGTACATCATTCAAGAGCTCACTGCCCCTGCTCAAGAGCCCAAGAGTTAGAACAGATTGCTCTGCCACAAACATCCAAGAGATTATCATGAACTTGCAGATACCTACAAAGATGATAAAGAGGTGAAAATTTTAATATATACTACATTTTAATTATTAGTATTTGAGTGGAAACTGCATTTTTATTAGGGGTGAGAGATTATGATTGCATCTTAAATGGTATAATTACCTCTAACACTATATCCATTCTTTTTCTTACATATTTAAATTGGAGTCTAAAAAGTGTGTGTCATGCAATTGCTTTTCTAAAAGAGTAAGTTATACTCAATTTACATATTAGTACAACAATAAAGGGAAACTACAAAGTATAATTTTGACATGCTACCTTATATTCTGACTATTGTTCATTAGTATTGATTGATCCACTTAGTAAATTAGACACATACATGCTTATATTCTAAGGCATTATGAAGAATATGGGTGAGCTGGGTGAGACACAGTTCATGTTAGAGTTGAGCACTTCGGAGAGTTAGGAAGTTGGTATGCATTTTAAATTATGATGTGGACAATAACTAAAATATAGACTGAACTAAACATTCATCAGCCCTGAAAATACAGATCCAGGTAATTTCTGATTAAAAGGACCAGAGTAGGGTTTATATTTTGACATATAATAGGAAAACTAAGCAGGATTGTGAAAATCAAAGACCTACAAGGAAGGGAAAATACAAAAAGGATGTGGAGATAAGAGAGAGGCTAATTGAAGAATACTAAGTTGAAGAGACTAACTTTGCTGGAGCAGAAAGCCTCTCATATGATGGAAACAAGTCTGGAGAAGCAGACTTTTGAGTATGTAGGAAGCTTATTTAACTAAACATTCTTTGCCATTTAGCATATGTACCATATACCCTGACAGTTTTACTTGATGCTAGGTCCACTCAGATAATTGCTTTTTAATATATCTATGCATGTCCAGCACCCCTCCTAATCATTTAAATGTGATTATTCCTATTATTCATAATGGTGCTTTTTGTGGGCTAACAAAATAAGAGAGACATACGATTGTGAGTTTTTAAACTGTCTTCGCCATATCACAATGGTAGTAAGTCAGAATTGCTATTTTCCTCCACACTTTTCCACACCAGAGCCTTATTCAATTATCCATAAATTCTCTGAGTGAGAAACTTGGGAATCAACCTAAACTTTCTCTTTATTTGATGACTCATTTTCCAGAAATTTTAACCACTTGAAAATGATTTTTTTTTTGGCCTGATTGGTCAAATACTTCCAAAGATTTTGTAAAGTTAACTGGGTTGCTTTAACAAACCAAGAGATTAAGTGAGATTAATGGTATAGGGACAGCTGATAAAGTTGGATCTCTAAATATCAATCATGGTGATGTGAACAATTTTCACCAAATCAGTTGTTTCCTCCCATGACCTAAACAGCTAATATCTGAAGTTCTGATCTGAGGGGCTTCAATCTAAAGCAATGGTTTTAATCAATTTCCATATTGCGACTGAACGTTTTAGTTGAAGTGACCAACCTGTTTTATTAAAGTCTCATGCCTACACCCTGTGTTTCATCTGTGGGAAATAGAGCCAGCCAAATACTTCCACATAGACTATGTGAATTATAAATTTAGATTCAATTTAAATAAACACTGGCAAGACAAATATTGAAATAATTAAAAAGGCATAAGGGCAGAATCCCTTTCTAACGAATTCATAACTTAGAGGAATTTTCAAATATAAAAAATTATGAGTAATTTCATCATCATGCCATTAATTAATGGATTGTTAAATGCTGTGGAGATTCTCTGTCATGTCAGCAGGTTAACTGCAGCTAGTTACAGTGTGTCTTTTAACAATAGAAGAATGTTTTTAAGGAGTTCTGGGTTACATAGCAAATTTGGTATTTATAAGGAACAGCAAATCCGACTGTAAAGTATATTGTGCTATTTACCCACCCACCAATGCATAGATAATCATCAATGACAGAAAGATAAACTGCTTGGTCTCATGGTTTATTTCAAAAACAGAAACCAAAACCAATGACATGTTTTTGAAGGCCAGAGGTTACACAAGGTCTATTACTGTTTCTGGCCTGGAACTTTTCAGATAGGCTCAGTTAGCTGGGTTGTGAGCCAAGGGAGCTACCTCTGTCCACCTCCCTGTCAGTGGGGTTTCTGGTGCACTCTACCATGCCTGCACTTCTGAGATCTTAAAGTGGATTCTAGAGAGATTCATTAAAGCCCCTATGCTTGTACTTCATCACCTGAGTCACTTCCTCAGACCCCAGTTGGTGTGGGAGGTCCTTCTATCTATGTGTTGCTTTTATTGGCTAATGAATAAAGAAGTTGCCTTGGCTTGCGATAGAACAGAGTGGAGCTAGGCAGGGAAAACTAAACTGAATGCTGGGAGAAAGAAGGCAGAGTCGTCAGAAGCCATGGAGCCACCAGAGGAGGAAGACTCAAGCTGCCAGTCAGAACTTTGTCGGTAGGCCACAAGTCTCAAGGTAAAATATAAAATATTGGAAATGGGTTAGCCAAAGATACAAGAGCTAGCTAGCAATATACTTAGGCTGTTGATCAAGCAGCGATTTAAATAATACAGTTTCCATGTGGTTATTTTGGGTCTGGACATCCAGGAACAAAAAAGCGTTCTACAACACCCAATGGCACATTTTGAAATTCTACTTAGAAATTTTTTCCTTCATAAAATTATAAAAGAGAATATTTAAATAAGTTCTACAGAGATGTCTTTACATTTAAATGAGACTCAATACCTATTTAGAAAGATATTAATAGAAGGGTTATTGTCCTAAATGTGAGTCTATTGTAAGGTGTGGAAATAAATAACTCGCTGATTTCCCACTCTTCTCTTTTAGATCTGTGGAAATCATGGAGTCTTATCACCAATGCTGTGTCTGAGGACATGAGGAATGCAGTTTAGAAAGCATTCTGAAAATCCATTAAGCAGAATTTGTAAGTGAAATTAGATGAAGATTTAAAGATTGTATATGATTTGAGAATCACAAATAATAATATTCATAATGGTATTGACCCATAGTCTTGTTGAGGCTTTTTTGTCCTCTGTGATACGTAATCTTAGGCTGGCTAATGCAACCCTCCACTTCTCATGTATAAAATGAAAGGGTTTTATTAGCTGATATCTAAGGCCCTTGAAACTTGCTATTCCCCAGTTCTTGTAACTGCTCAAGCAACCACTTCCTAATCTTTTATATGGTGTTATGATCTTTATTATACTCAGAAATCAAGGTTTTTTATGAAGTTGCACTTGACCTCTACCCATAAGCCAGTATCTTGTTTAGTCATTAAAAATAAAGCATTAGATACTTTATTTGTCTGAAAAAAAGGGGAAATGAGAATGACAATGTGGGGATCTAATCTCCATTCTTTTTGCTAATTGAATTATTTGTTTAAGATGAGATTTTGTTCTAATAAAAGAATTTGCTATTCTAGTTGTGGCCAAGACAAAGAAGATCCACTTTTTAGTAGTGTCATATCCAATTTCCACACAATGAGAAAAAGCCATTAACTCTCTGTGTGAGCGGATGACTTTATTGCTATTACAACATATACTGAAATTTCCAGTGTAGAGTCCCAGTACTTTTACAGAGCAGACACCTTGCTCATTCACACTTGTCTCAGTCCCTTACATGACAAGGGCAGATAACTTATATAGGTAGAGACTCATAAGGGCAAAGTAGAGTTTAAATGAAGACTAGCATTCTCACTAATGAACTATTTTAAACTTTACATTTTTATTATGTTTTGTAATGGACTTCACATGCGTGATCTCAGTTGTAAATCATGAGAACCATTAATGGGGGCAGCAGATATGGACCTGTTTACTTTATAGAAAAAGAAAATTACATCAGAAAAAAAGCTTTCTTATGGCTTACCATATGTTTAAGGCTAGAGAGAAATCTAAGAGCCAAGTTGCAAAAAGTCACTTGGTTAGTAATGATGGATGAAACCTATATAATACACTACAGAAGAATACACTATGGGAGCAATTATATTAAGCTGTCATGACATCGGTATATATCCTGAATCTCCTGTGTGTGCATGCTTTATTTGCATATATTCTTTTCATACATTGATTACAGTGTTTGATTCTGATGAAATAATGTATATATATACATACCATTGACATGTGTTGTAGAATATTAATTTAAGTTGTGTTACATTTATTTATGCTGTGGAATATTTGTTTTAATGATGCAAAGATGTGTTACATTCTTGTATGCTATAGAGATTTGCATTGGCATGGATCTTGCTTTATTGATACAAATGTAAGGTCAATTTTGTTATATGTATATATTTCTGCTCTTGATTAAGGTATTGTGTTTGTACAGCTCATTTAAAAATGTGTAATTAAGAAATACACATTAATAGAGAGTCATCTATCATAGTCAAGCTTGTAGTCAGGTTAGTTAGGTTTTCTAGATGTATTTCAGATGGATAGATATTCTTTAGATCTTTCAAAGACTAACAGAATATGGCATTTAAAATTTTTTTAACAACTTAGGACTTTTTATGACATGAGACACATCTGCTCCTGGCAGTACCAATCTACTTCAAGAGGATGACGTGCATCGAAGAGGTTCCTCATGAAGTTTGTTAGTCATTTAGGCAAGAAACTGCTCTTGCCTGAACTGCTTGATATTATGTTGTCTGAACTGGATATGTAGGACCCACAGAGAAATGACTGCTGAACTTGCCTAAAGGTGAGACTGTCCTTCAGGGTTCCTGCTTCACGAAAGAGTCTGCAGGACATTCTGCAGGACACAGAAGAAAGTAACTGAAAAACTGCCAATACAGGTAGAACTGTTTTTGAAA